CGTCCGCGGCTGCTGGCGATTTCGATTCTGCTATACCATCATTGTCTTCAAGCCCCATTTGGTGCTCTGCGAGGGCTCCGGACGAGCTCGATGTGGTACTGGTAGTAGGACAAGGACGCTTGCCACTAAGTGGAGCAAGTAGTCGCCCCGGTAGTAAAATTTCGAGATTAAGCAGGCCTTGTCCAACGGTGGAGTCGTCTAGGGAGTATGTCAGATTGGGGTTAGCAAGCTGAGTAAGACATAAAAGTGACAGCTTGATTAACGGATAATAATGAAACAATCGCGATGTTTATAAAGAAATAGGTAGAAAATCACAGCATGGCTAATAAGGGAAATATATGGCAAATTGGTAAGCCCATCTTGAAAGCCAGGATAAATATAGATCAGAGGAAACTAACCGTGAAATAAGACGGTCCTAAATAATTGTTCCAGTTACCCTAGGTCGCATAGTAATGAAGGACTGAAAGTCTCAAAAACCACTTTATACGAATGAAATTGTCTCATCGATCGGTTTACCAATTATGTGTGCAGCTAGACTCAAAATTAGGTTATCGATTAAGCAATACACTAAGTGCGAGGAATGCTGGTAAGAAGCTATCAAGAACTACGTATGCTTAATTGATAAGATGTTGAACTGCATGGCAAATGGAGGTGACTCAAATAGTCTTCTGTTATAGCTATGGTAATACAAGCCTTAGTTTATACTTACGCACACAGAAAGCTCATCAACTAAAAAAATGAAGCATCCGGCATTACGCAACCGTGTCGAAAAATGGTTATCAAAGCTTGAAGAACGAGGGCCAAGGCTAGGCTTTGTTTTAATTACTTCGAGCAATTATGGTTGATCTCGAACTTTTGTATAGACATGAAAGTGCTACATGCACGTGTTTCAAGATTTATAAGTAGCATGAACTAAACGAATCCCTATATACCTGATAAAAATAGGCAAGTTTTCATGACTGTAAAAATGATGTTCATCAATGATAGACAAAAATTTAGCATGGTTTCACCAGGATCGAAGGTTGCCTTGAGAATAACGTCACCCAGAAAGTTTCAGTAAAGCCAAACGACAGCTGACCAAGAGGAAGCCATCATTGTCTTCTGGTTATGTCGACTTTTGAATATCTTCACCACTCAGTTTGGCTCAAATGAACCTAACAAGTATATAATAGTAGTGGTCCACTCTTCTAATGTGCT